CAATTCACACCCAGTGTAAATGTCTATTCCAGTAAGAACAAAATGCTGTCTTTCTATGATGAAGTGGCCCAGTGTAATCAGCCTGCTACCAACGCTGGTCTCTGCTGCTGGTAGAGTGGGCACTCAGCAGTGGCCATAACTAAGCCAGTCTTGATGAATGGAAGTCCACATGTTGCTCAGTCCATGTGTAATTTCCATCCCTGCCACCAGAGCCACTGTTTTCCTGAATCCATTAGGCAACTAAGGGTGGATGGAAAAGAGAATGAATGGTTTCCACAGAAGGTATCACCCTACCTACTTTATCACTAAAGGCTTCCTGGGCTGAGGTCACCCTTTGGTGAGCATTCACCTGAGACATAAATGTCTTCACTTCTTTGGCTCATTCAGACAGGTGTATCCACTTACCTCTTCCCTATACCTCCTTGTCACCAATTATCTTGTCACGTTCCTTCCAAGCCCCTGAGCAAGAATCAGTACACAGTCATGCATCTGGTGATTAAGTTCTCCCACTGTTAGGATTTCCATTCACCATTGTCCTTTGAGAGAAGTCTCACTTTTGAGTGTACCAGCATGTCACACAGAACCATCTGTAAACCAAGCATGATTTTCTCTTCCTGATCTAACTGATCACAAGGACCTCCCCATGAGGCCAGAGGCAGACTGTGAGGAAAGGCATTAAGACAGGACCAGAGACCATGGGCATTTAGGCCATTTCCTTATGCAAGTGACTTGCGTTAAGCCTTGTGGCTAATCCCTTAATGAACTAAGGTTTCAATTCTCTAAAAAATATGTATGAAAACAAAAGAATCGCACGTGACTGCAGAAAGACTGAAAACTAAAAATGCTACACCATGCACTTCAATACAAAGCAAGTAACACCAGCAGTGCTTTTTAGTGGGAATCTGGTCATACTGTCTTCTCCGTAGGCTGTACAAAATAAAGTTCAATTGGCCTATCAATTTTTAAAGAAAGTTTAATACAGGGTAGAAAAAAATCTTACCTGAAGTTTTCTTGCAATTAGTACTGAGAGATTAAAACTTATCAGTAACGATCCAAGAATCATGGAATTAAAAAACTGAAGAATACAGACCAGGAATAAGCTTGCTATCTGTATACCGTATAGCCACGTCACCTACAATAAGCAAAGATTAGTCGTTAACTAGATTTTTTCAAGAGACACCCAGACGCTGCTTTTTTTGGTCACTGATTAGATAGAACTCAGGTTACATATAATGCAAAAGCACACCTAGCTTTAAGAAACACAATCTTAAAAAGGAAACCAAATCATATACATACCAGTTGTTACTTTACCTTTTAATACTTTAAATTTTATGACATTAATTAAAAGAAAACAAATGGAGATAATGTCAAATGGAAGCAAACAATGGTGCAATGTGTTTTCAGAATATGCATATGCAGTTTATAAATAAATCTTCAGTTGCTTTCTCAATTTTTATACAATCATCCTCTACAGTCAACAATCAGCACCTTATTGTATTTCATTATTCCATACTCTAGGCTTTATGACTTAATTTTATATGGGTGTGTGCCTGACTCCTTGTTAGACTAAATACGCCTCCTGGGACAAGGCCTTCTACTCTTCCACCTCACAGGTTCATAGCAGGTGAGTAGTGATCAGAATATGGGCCACAGAGTTAACAGACCTGCAACGTGGTCCTGATTCTGCAGTGTGCCAGCGGTGTGAGCTCAATGTGATGGAATTGGTTCTTTCTAACACAAGACATGTTGGCTTCAAAGTTGCTGTAAGATCTCGTATAAAAACTGAATGTGCTGAAGTATTAAAATGCCTGAGCACAAGAAGCACTCACTAAAGAGAACGCTTACGTAATAAAAACTGCTGACAGTTCGATACTGAAATAAACAAAACCAACCACCTTGAATACAACAGAAAAACAGAAAGCCACTAATAAAGAGTTGATACTTTGATTTTTTTCTCTTTCAAATTAAGCAATTACAAACTCATATTGACATATAAGAGACCTCTGATGTGGCAATGTAGGATAAACACCGGACAGCAAATCATAAGGTTGGTGGTTCAAGCCCATCAGCTGCTCCTCAGAAACCCTATACAGGGTCACTATGAGTCAAAATCAACTCAATGGCGCTAATCAACTGACATATAAAAAATAAGTTTTATTCAGATTGCCCCATAATTTTGTTTTCTTAATCGCAAAGGAAACAAACTATATTGATTATTTAAAAGTGAGGCCGGCCATAGTTCAGTAGCTTGGTGTTGATGGAAATGCAGAGAAATGGAAGCTTGTAGCTATAAAAATTAAGATTTATGAAATTTAGAAAACATAATAACAATCATCAATAGAAAGGTGGACTCTAGATACACAACTTGCCACCACTGTCTATAGAAATAACTTTAATAACAGTATATAAAACTTCATATGTATTTCTTTTACATTATACTGTGGGGAATATTACGTAATTTTCTCATATTCTGTGAAAATTTCCTTTTAAATGGGGTCCTGGTGTGGCACTGTAGGATAGTCACTGGACTGCTAACTGCAAGGTCAGTGGTTCAAACCCACCAGCCACTTCTCAGAAACCCTATACAGAGTTGCTATGAGTCAGAACTGACTTGAAGGCACTAACACATAGATTCGAGTCTCTGAGTAGTGCAAACAGTGAGCACACCCGGGCTGCTAACTCAAAGGTTGGTGTGAGCTCTCCCGCAGGCACCCTGGAAGAAAGGCCACTGTAAACTCTATGGAGCAGAGCTATGCTGGACAACAGGAGGTCAGCATGAGTCAGTGGACTCGGGCAACAGATGGCTGTATGATGCCAAACGCACATGCCAAAGTCCACCTGCTGCTCCATCACTGGGTCATTTCTAGTGTTTAAAATTGTTATTAACATTGATGTTGTTGTGAACATTATTTTTCTCAGGTCATTTTATTTGACTAGTTCCTTATTTCATTCAGTGCTGTATCTTCAGCACCTAAAACACTGCATACGAGAGTGTTAACAAAAATAACAAAAACCAAATTTATTGTCATCGAGTCGATTCCAACTCATAGGAACCTTACCTAGGGGCTAGTGAGACTAAATAGTTACAGGGGCAGCCAGAGCCACTGGTGAGTTTGAACCACTGACCTTGGGTTAGCAGTCAATAGTTACCCCACGAAGGTTCCTCATAAGGCACTGGCTAACGCATGTGTGTGTATTCAGAAAGTTCCCTATCAGGTATGGAATTTACAAATACTTCCTCCTATTCTGGTGGGCTGTCCTTTCTAATAAGACTTTGAGGATTTTACCTCTTATATTTAGAACTATGATCTATTATAAGTTAATTGTTGTACATGGCATGAGGAAGGGGTCAAACCTCATCCTTTTGCATATGGATATCCAGTTTTTCCGGGACCCTGTGTTGGAAAGACTGTTCTTTCTCTTTAATTGACATGGTGCCCTGCTGAAAATCAATTCACCATAAATGTAAGGGTTTATTTTGGGGCTCTCAATTCTATTCCATCAATCTATACGTCTATCTTTATACCAGTACAACACAGTCTTGAGTATTGTACCTGTGTAGTAAGTTTTGTCCTGCACTCACATGTCACTGAGGCCATGCTATAGGAATGGTTCAATCCTGTGGGGTCTGTGCTGTCCATCCAGGTCTGTCATAATACGATCACCTGCCGATCCCTGCCTGGGATATGCCTACATCAATTTCCAAAAGCCAGCTGATGTGAAGTGAGCTCTGGGCACTGTGAACTTTGATGTGAGGAAGGGAAAGCCAATCTGAATCATGTGGTCCCAGAGGGATCCCTCTTTGAGAAAATCTGGTGTGGGAAACATCTGCATCAGGAACCTGGACAAATCCATATATAACAAGGCACTTTATAATACTTTTCCTGCTTTTGGAACCATTCTGTCCTGCAGGGTGGTACATGATGAATACGGCTCTAGGGTTATGCCTTTGTCACTTGGAGACCCAAGAGGCTGCCGATAAGGCCAGTGAGAAGATGAGTGGCATGCTTCTCAATGACTGCAAAGTGTTCTTGCACAGATTTAAGTCTCAACAAGTGTGGGGAGCCAAACCCAAGGCATTCACCAACATCTGTATGAAGAACTTGCGGAAGAGTCTGAAAGTGCTGTTCAGCCAGTTTGGTCAGACCCAAGTGTCCAGTTGATGAGCGTTCCCAGTGGGAAAGCCAAAGGCTTTGGCTTTGTGTGTTATGAAAACCATGAAGATGCCAATAAGGCTGTGGAAGAGATGAATGGGAAAGAACTCTAGCACAGATGAGGCCTAATCCATGCTGGCAGCAAAGTGGGAGGTCTCAAGACTTCCAATGAATGCCAAGTGCTATAAGCCAGTCTAGGTCTCATCCAACTCTTCGCCATCTGGCTCCAACTGGGTCTGAGAGCCCGGACTGCTTGGCTATGGACTTTGGTGGGGCTGGTGCTGCCCAGCAAGGGCTGACTGACAGCTGTCAGTCGGCAGGTGTTCCCATAGCTGTGTAGAACTTAGCACCTCAGCCCGCCAGTTACTACTACTCTCGGACTATGGTACCATACTCTGCAATGAGCTCTGCATGTCCGTGTCCATGCTGGCTGCAGCAGCCCTCCAGGAGCAGAAGAGATACTTGGAGAACGCTTGCTTCCACGTCTCCATGCAACGCATGCAAACCTGGCTGGGAAGACTGGGGGATGCTCATGAAGACGGATGGCTCGGCTCTGCTGCCCAGGCTGCAGTCTCTGAGTCTGTCCACTCACAGGTGGATATTTCTACAGACTCATCATGCCGAGAAAGAAGAAGTGGCTCTGACCAGGAAAAAATGATTCAAGAGCCAAAGAAAACTCCTCCGGATTTCAGCCCGTTTGAAGACGTCCTAGCTTGTCCTATGGACCTGAACAGCAAGAACCACAGACTGCAAATTTAATAGGTCATTTTGTATCAAAAGGCCAATTAAACACCTAGAAATTTTCAATTATACAAATATATTTTCTGGGTTCTAACACAGCCCAATGTAAAAAAAAATGTTTTCTATTGTGGATTTCAAGTTTTTCCCCAGAAACTGGTTTTGTTTGATGTACCCAAGTCTTAAATTTCTCAATAAAGAAGAAAAACCTTAAAAAAAAAAAAATAATAACAATAAATCTTACCCATAAAGGTGAGAAGGCTTTTCATTTATTTAGGCTTTCTTTATGTTCTGTCAGGTTTGGAGTTTTTAGTTATCAAAGTTTTGCAGTTATCAAAGTTTTATACTTTTTTTTTTTTTGCTAAATTTACAAATATGTAATGGATGGAGCTTTGGTAGCATAGTGGTTACGAATCGGTCTGCTAACCTCAAGGTCGGTCTGCTAACCTCAAGGTCGGCAGTTCAAAACTACCAGTCGTTCCATGGGAAAAAGATGAGGCTTTCTGCTCCTGTAAAGATTACAGCCTCGGAAACCCTGTACAGGGTTGCTATGGGTCGGAACCGACTCCATGGCACATAACAACAACAATTGGAAGGTAGGATGAGTGGAGCATAACTAGCCATGGGCGGGGCTTACAAGAAAGCGGATGTGGCCTTAAGGAAGATGGGCGTGGCCTGATGAGTAAATTTGTACGAGTCCCTGAGTGGACTTAGCTGTCTCAGCTCTTCCCACTAGTCTCCCAGGTGCTGGGGGCAGGACAATATCAGAGCCATTTGGTGGATCGTGGGAGAAAGATGAGGTTTTCTGCTCCTGTAAACATTACAGCCTTGGAAACCCTGTGCAGGGTCACTATGAGTCGGAACCAACTCCACAGTACTTAATGACAACATATATATATATATACATATACATATTTATGATGCTATTCCTTTTAGGTGGTGTTTATGCCCTGTGCTCCCTTTTTCAATGGGCATAAATGTTTCTCTCATTGATGTTTAGAAAAATTTTAAGGGCAACAACTCATTCTCAGAGCCTTTTTTCAAATTAACCAATGTTTTTGCCTTTATTTGGGTTACAGTGTTTTCTGACGCTGGTAGTTCTTTTTACATCAAGTGGGAGCACACTTTACTACTTGGAAAGTGCAGCTTATGTAACAAGTCTGCATAGTTTTCTAAGTGTAACAATTTCTCAGGTTTAAGATGAACCTGGCTGATCGCACCACTAGGTGTGCAGGCTAATGAAAAAAGAGCCAGGACACATCTATGAGGGGCTCAAAAAGCTTGTGGAAATTGTTTATGATCCTTCAATTCCATGTTTCCAGAATTTGAAGGCCCCTGCAGAATAAGCACTAGACTGCTAACCACAAGGTCCACCAGCCGCTACAGACTCGATAGCACTTAACAACATATATGCCCACTCATGTTCACTACAGCATTATTCACAACAGTAAAAAATATGGAAACAACCTAACTGCCCATCAAAGGATGAATGGATAAACAAACTTTGGTATATACCCACAACTTAAGAGAATCAAAAATACTTTAAACTTTTTATTGTGAACTGGTGTGGCACTGTAGGATAAGTATGGGACCGCTATCTGCCAGGTGTTGGTTCAAATCCACTAGTCGCTACTTGGAAAACCTACACAGAGTTGCTATGAGTTGACACTGATTAAAGAGCACTAATAACCAGTCTCATTAGGGTGCCTTCAAATACAAGGTCCAATTAAACAGTGGCTTCCAAGGGACTGCTGGACCAGTTAAATTCTGCTGGGTGAAGGGTCTGGTTTTCAAAGTCTCTAGTGACACCACCTTAACTGGGAAGGAGAGCAGCCATTACTGTGCCTCCGGTGGCCTGCAATGACACCACAGGATGGGGCTGGGGTTCTTATCTCGAAGTGCTGGTGAAGTGCCTACTTCCCTTTTGGCCTCTAATGTAGGGTAAGCACTGGGCTGCTAACTGTGAGGCACGTGGGTTCAAATCCCCCAGTCGCCCCACAGGAGAAAGATGAGGCTGTCTGCCTCCGTAAGACCTTACAGCCTCAGACACTCTATACTGGGTTGCTATGAGGGGTTTGCTTCAGAACACCAAACCAGCAAGGCAAGAAAAGGATGGAAGTCCAGGCTCTCCAGGACCTTCAGTGACACCAACGGTAGATGGAGCAATCCTGGCTCCCCACAGGTTTCCTCTGAAAAATCACTGGCAGGAAGTGAGGAAGAGAGAGGTAGGTGAAGGCGGAAGTCTAGGCTCCTCACTCAATCTTTGCTGGTGGAGCTGGGAGCAGAGCTCTTCTTTCTCTGTGGTTGTTTGATTGAAGTAGGGCAGTTACTGTCTCAAATGATCTACCTTGCTAGGCTGCCCCTTTTCCTGTCCTCTGCTTAGAGCAGGAGCAGGCTTTTCTTGAAGCCTGTCCAAGCCCACTATTTCTGGGTTGCTGGATCTCTAGCACCTAGACTGGGATATGTGGGCATGCAACCCAGAGAATTTATTATCACGGGTTTTCTTGAGGTGCTTAAGCAACCTGTTTATTTTGTTATGTTCACTTTTCAAGCCTGCTTATGCTTGTTTCATACACAGTGACCAGGACGAGGTTTAGCTGTACTTAGCAGGAATACGTAGGAGCCCTGGGAGTGTAGTAGATTACAAGTAGGGCTAACTGCAAGGTCAACAGTTTGAAAATACTAGCGGCTCCACAGGAGAAAGATGACACTTCTGCTCCCGTAAAGGTTTACAGCCTCGGAAACCCTACACACGGTCTCTCTGAGTTGGAACCGACTCCACGCACGGTACACCAGCAGCAGCAGTAGCAGGAATAGGAAGAAGTGTGTTTAATCCATATTGTCTAGAACCATTTGGAATGCTTTAAAGTAAATCTCTTAGGCATTATCATTATTATGTCTTGTTCCTATAATGGATTACTAATATTATTAACCTTCCTATTTTTAGCCTTTAATTAATCAAAAGTATATGCTTAATAATACCATTTGTTACTCTGCTTTATATTTTAAAACTTGCATATTTTTAGGACTGGAAATTTGGGCTTTTATTAGAAAGGGATTTTCCATCATTCATGAAAAGAAGGTGGTGAGTATCAAAGAAGATACGCCTCTTTTTCTTACCCTAATTATTCTGCCTTCACTTGATATATCAGTGACATGAAGAAACTAAGGCTCAGAGAAGCCCAACAACTTGCTAAAGCTAAAGTTCTATGAGCTAGTTAGTTTCAGAGACGCTCCTAGCAACATGATTTTCTAACTCAGGATTGTTTTCTTGCACTATTGTTGCTTCTTAAATTTTGACAGTTGGATTGTTAACCTCAAGGTCTGTGATTGAAACCCACCATGTACTCTCAGAAACCCTATACAGGGTTGCTCTGAGAACCAACCAAATGGTATACAACTACCTCTAACACCAACATAGTTTCAAATACAGACCCCTTTACCAACATTTAGGATAAAACGTGAAATTCAAAATTAGTATTAGTCCATAGTTTTTTTGGCATGTGCCAAAACAACACTTTTTTTCGAATTAAAAAAAAAAAACAACCACGTTCATCACAGGAAAAAAAATAAAGAGATCTTAAGAACCAACAAGATAGCCTGAATATCCAACAGGCAGCTGACTATTGATACTGTGATGTGTATCTTTCCAGAACCTCTTCTCTGTACACATTCGACTTCAAAAAAAGAAGGAAAGGGACTAATGGTGACATTATACTTCCTTATAATGTTGTCGCGTGCCGTCAAGTTGTTACAACTCATAGCCACCCCGTACAGGGTTTTCAAGGAGCAGCTGGTGAGTTTGAACCACTGACCTTGTGGTTCAAACCGACCTAGTGGTCGAGTGCTTATCCTACAGTGCGCCACCTTAGGACTGTGTTTCCTAATTGAGACCCATTTAATGTCTAAACCGTACAGAATCTCCTTTGCTAAGGAATAAATGAGTCCTGGTACGGTGCTAAAGGATGATGTGCTGGACCGCCAGGTTGGTTCAATCTCATCAACTGCTCGTCAGAAACGCTGTACACGGTGGTTCCTATGAGAACCGACTCGATGGCACTTCACCCTTCTGTACTGGGCTGCACTACCGCCTTAGACCTGGAGACACTTTTACTGTTGTTGTTGTTGTCTGCTGTCAACTCAGCCTCTGACTCACGACAGCTACAAGCACACAGAAGGAAATGCTGCCTTGCCCTGTGCCATCCCCACGACCAGCTGTAATCAGACTGTTCTTACCCACAGAGGAGTCACTGGCGGCGCAGTTTTGGAAACGGATTGCCAAGCCTTTCTTCCTAGTTTGTTTCAGCCTGACAACTCGGATGAAACTTGCTCACCATGATAGTTACACGTAAGCCTCTCATGACAGACAGATAATGGTTGCATGGGGTGCACTGGCCCAGAATTAGGCCCAGGTGTCCTGCATTAGAAGGCAAGACTGCTACCACGGAACCTCCGAATCTCCAATGCCTCAAAATTGTTTCTATTCCATTTGGAAAATATTTAAATTCCTGCCACTTTGGAATAGTAACGAGGGGCCATTTAAAAAATGTACACACAATGAAGTACAGCACGTCTCTGTACAGGGAAAATCAGGCAGCATGGCCCAGGAGACAGCTCTGGGGCCTCATTCTAATTGCTTTATTGCATATGTGGCCCAGACCAGTCCAAGGGACTAATAGCCCATATTGGTTAAAAGGTACTCTGAAAATTTTATAAAGTACAACACATAAGCTGTTATATATCCTTGAGTTCCTAGATATACAGAGCAACACACAGTAAAATTAAAATGCCGTTTTTCTATTTAAGTCATCTCTATTAAAGACAACCGATATACGTATACATGTCTCACATAACTCCATCATAAAATCAATAGAATAAAAGCTAGAGGGTCAAACAAAGCTGCAGAAATCATTCAGACTCAATTAACCAGAGCATATACATATATATATTAGAGCTGAGAGGGTGCAGCCACTCTACTGTTAAGCATGTGCATACTTTGAACCCTTTCTAGCAAAACACTAAAAAATGTCTACTGAGAAAACAAAGCAAAGCCTACCTTCATTGCTGGCACCATGTCCAAGGAGTCCAGTATGAACAGTACTAATGCTTGCATCAGCATCATAAACTGGTTAAATTGCCATGTCAGACTAAAAAGAAGAGTTGATAAGAAAATGGCAAGAAGTATCAGCCTCTGTAAAAAGAAAAATTTGTGTAATTTACATATCTCTTGTAATAAACAGCCTTGCAGACAAGTTTTCTCAAGAGCAGCCAATATCTCTATAAACCAAATAGAAAAACCATAAACTGTTGCTCTGAAAACCCTTGCATTTGTTACTTAAGCTCTAAATATCCTAAAGTGACACTCTGCATATAAATATTCCCATACGGTATGTGTATTCCACACTATCATGGAGGTGATAACGCACCAAATCACATCTCAAAGAGCAAGGGCTGAAAAATCCTGACAGTTTTGCATAAAATGGGGGTGGGGGTGCTGCAACTATTTAAGGGTAGATTATGTAGAGCACATTTTTAGCATCAAAAATGAAAACATTTTCTTTTCAAAGTAGGAAAAAGCTCTGAAAAAGAAAACTTCATTTAACTCCAATGAAATAATTGGTCATGGAATAAGAAGTACTCACATGCACTGGGAAGCGCTGCAGGCATAAATTACGTTTCCTAAAGCTTCTTATACAAAATTGTGAAATACAAAAATACATCAGGTATTACACAAAAACTTACTTCATAAAGAGGCTGTAAGTTTGGTCTCAGAAAATAGGTAATTGCTGCTATCTGAATCGCAAAGAATGGCAGTGCCCAATTCTCCCTCAACGGAACGGTAAACTCAACTCTTGTGGTATCTATTCTGCACAAGATAAAACACAACTGGCTGAAGTGATCAGTTTTACAGTAATTTCCTCAAACAGTTCTAAACATGAAAAATCTATTACATTAAGTCTTACCTTTCAATATTCCCACTGCCAGTATCATCATTCCTGTGGCATAAACTTGACATTGAGAAAACGTTAGATAGAGTTGGGCTTCAAACCCCAAGTCAGCTGGTCTGACTTCAACATGCGTACTGTACTGCGTTGTCTCCTGCCACGCTGCTTTCACTTTCATTTCTAACATCACTCGTGCCAAAAGACAATGCTTTACAGTCTCCATCCTTCTATGTCTTCATTGCTTTACACCTGAGTCCTGAATCTGTCACTGCCACTCATGGTTTAAAACTGTCTCTTTAGAATGCGAACTCCCAGAGTTCAACTGTAAATCCAGCACCAAGAACCAACACTGCACAGGCCAGGACTCCACATCTGCTTTATTAGAGTTACTCCTAGCAGAGGCAGTAAATGTTACTTTTATTTACTCTTAGCAAGAATAAGGTAATAAAATGTTAGGATGCAGGAGACCATGGCGATCTCATATCCGAAGTTTGAATTCTGACCAAGACTCAGCTGTGACCTTATGGAGATTACCTGACCTTTTAAACTTCATTTTCCTCATCTCTAAAATGAGAATAATAATACTTTATAGGGCTGTTAAAAGAATACATGTAAAGCATTTAAAATATGCTTTGTATATAGTAAGGGCCTAATACAGTAATAACAAGAAGTAATTTGCTTAGGATTACAAAATAAAATTGGTGTTAGAATGAGTGTTTAAGATGTAAGATCCTTCCTTACTGAATATGGGCATCGTTACTGGTGTGGCGCTGCAGGTTAATGTGCTGGACTGCAAGGTCGGCAGTTCAAGCTCACCAGCCGCTCCTCAGACACCCGATACAGGGTCGCTATGAGTTGGAACCGATTCAACGACACTCAACAACAACAACAACAGTAGGTAAGGGAGCCTTGACGGTGTAGTGGGTTACACTTTGGGCTCTTAACTGTTGGATGGCAGTTCAAATCCACCGGCTGCAGCATGGGAGAGAGATGAGGCTGTGTGTTCCTATAGAGATTTACAGCCCCAGCAACTACACAGGTTGGTATGAGTCAGAAACAACTCAACAGCAGACAAAAACAACCTACAGTTGTTAGCTGCTGTCGAGACAGTACCGACTAACAGTGACCTTTATGTACAACTGAACGAAATGCTGCCCGGTCCCGCACCAACTTCACAATTGTTGCTACACTTGAGCTCACTGCTGCTGCCCCTGTGCCAATCTTTCTCACTGGGGGTCTTCCTTTTTTATGCTGACATTCCAAGTTACCAAGCATGATGTCCTTCTGCAGGGGCTGGTCCCTCCATTATGTTCAAAGTATGAGAGCTGACAGATGACCATCTGGCTTCCAAGGTTGTACTTCTTTCTAAGACAGACTGGCTCGTTCTTTTTAGCAGTCCATGGTACTTTTAACATTCTCCTCCAACACCACAACTCAAATGCATTAATTCTTCCATGGTATTCTTTCTTCATTGTCCAACATTCACATGTATATGCAGTTATTGAAAGTACCATGGCTTGGGTCAGGTGCACCTTAGTCCTCAACAAAGTGACAATTTTGCCCTTGAACTTTTTACAGAGTTCTTGTGCAGATCTGCCTAATGCATTACATAGTTTGATTTCCTGACTGCTGCTTCCATGAGTGTTGATGGTTGATCTGAGCAAAATGAAGTGTTTGACAACTTCAATCTTTTCTCCATTTATATGGATGTTTATTGGTCCAGAGGTAAGGATTTCTGTTTTCTTTACATTGAGATGCAACCCATACTGAAGTCTGTGGTCTTTGATCTTCATCAGTAAGTATTTTTTTAAGTCCTCTTTGCTTCCAGCAAGCAAAGTTGTATCATCTGCATAGCGTAGGTTATTAATGAGTAGTCTTCCTGCAATCCTGATGCTGTGTTTTTCTTCATATAATCCAGCTTCTTGAATTATTTGCTCCAACATACAGACTGAATAAGTATGGTGAAAGAATACCACCCTGGCACACACCTTTCCTGATCTAAAACTATTCAGTGCCCCTTTGTTGTGTTCAAACAATTGCCTCTTGGCCTATGTACAGGTTCCTCATGAGCACAATTAATTGTTGTGGAATATGCATGTTCTGCAATGCTGTCCATATTGTCAAGATCCACAAATACAAAGCCCTTGTGTAGTCAATAAAGCACAGGTAAACATTCTGTTAATCTCTACTTTTAGCCAAGATCCATCTACGTTAGCAATAATATCCCTCATTCCACATCCTCTTCTGAATTTGGCTTGGGCCTCTGGCAGTTCTCTGTTAATGTACTACTGCAGCTGTTTTTTTTATTATCTTTAGCAAAATTTTACTTGCATGTGACATTAATGATATTGTCCAATGATTTCTGCATTCCATTGGGTCACTTTTCTTTGAAATGGGTACAATATGAATCTCTTCCCATTAGCTGACCAGGCATCTGTCTTCTAAATTTCTTTGCATAGGTGAGAGTGCTTTCCAGTGCTGAATGAGTTTGCTGAAAGATTTCCATTTGTATTCCATCAATTCCAGTGTCTTGTTCTTTGCCAATACCTTCAGTGCACCTTGGACTTCGTTCTTCAGTATCACTGGCTCTTGATCATGTATGAACATCGACCATTTCTTTTTATTACAGTGACTCTTCCATCTTCTTTTGATGCTTTCTGCATGATTCAATATTTGGCCATAGAATCCTTTAATATTCCAATTTGAGGATTGTATTATAGGCGGTGTTTTGAAATGCAATTAAGTTGATTGCAACTCACAGCAACCCTATATAGGGTTTCCAAGGAGCAGCTGGTGGATTTGAACTGCCTATGTGTGGTTTCCAGTCCAATGCTGATCCTACAGCGCCACACCAGGAGTTCTGTATTGTAGGTTGTTGCTGTTGTTAAGTGCCATCAAGTTGGTTCTGACCCATGGCAACCCTATACAGGGTTGCTGAGGAGCAGCTGGTGAGCTTGAACCGCTGACCTTGCAGTTCAAATGGCTTTGCAGTCTGATGCAGCATTAACCCACAGTGCCAAAAGGCAACAATACATTTTTAAAATTAAGATTTCATTAAGACTGTTGTTGTTGTTAGGTGCCATCGAGTCAGTACCGACCCATTGTGACCCTATGCACAGCAGAACTAAACATTGCCCGATCCTGGGCCAACCTCACTACTGTTGCCACACCTGAGTCCATCGATGCTGCCACTTGGCTAATCTATCTGGTTGGGGGTCTTCCTCTTTTTCTCTGACCGTCCATCTTACCAAACATGATATTCTTCTCTAGCAACTGGTCCCTCTTGACAATATGTCTGAAGTATGAGAGATGAAGTTTGGCCACCTTGGCTTCCAAGGAGCACTCTGCCTGTACTTCTTCCAAAACAGATGTATCGGTAGCCCATGGCACTTTCAATATTTCTTCTCCAACACCATAACTCAAAAGCACCAATTCTTCTACAGTCTTTCTTATTCTCTATACAGCTTTTGCATGCATATGAGGCTATTGAAAATACCATGGCTTGGGTCAGGCACACCTTAGTCCTCAAGCTGACATCTTTGCTCTTCAACTCTTTAAAAAGGTCTCATGCAGCAGATTTGCCTAATGTAATACGTCGTTTGATATCTTGACTGCTACTTCCGTGAGTGTTGATAGTTGATCCAAGAAGAAGGAAGTCCTTGACAACTTCAATCTTTTCTCTGTTGATAAGAATGTTGTTTATTGGTCCAGTGGTGAGGACTTTTGTAATCTTTACATTGAGATGTAATCTATACCGAAGGCTGTGCTCTTTGATCTTCATCAGTAAATACTAAATAAGTAAATACTACATAAGACTGTAGTATTTAGAAATTAACAATTGATATTAACCAGATAATATAAAAACTTGCTTTTATTTGTATAAGGAGTCCTGGTGGTGCAGTGAGTTAAGCATCATGCATCTAATCAGAGTTGGCAGTTCAAGCTCACCAGCTACTCTGAGGAGGAAGAAGCAGAGGCTGTCTGCTCCTGTAAGATGGACACTTTTGACAGCAGTTCTACCTTGTCCTTGGCCCAGGATCGGGCAGTATTTCGTACTGTTGTGCACAGGGTCACTATGAGTCAATACTAACTCGATGGCACCAACAACGACAACAAACCCTGTCGTTACAGGGTTGCTGTAAATCAGAATTGACTTGATGGCAGTAATATTTAGGTTTTCTTACCAAATAAGCAAAATAAAAACCAGGAAGTAAAGCAAACAGTGAATACTCCCTTCCAAAGAACTGTGGCAGAACCACATTTCGTTTTTCTGACTTAGGAATGCTTCATCTTTACTTACACTTCAGCAAAGGGAGAGGTACGGTACTTCCAACTCACCTATTTGTGACGTACCAGAAAGCTGCCAACAGTCCTGAGAGCCAAGTACCACTCAGGAGCCAGCTGGTGACATAAAGCGCTGTGACGTAGATCGCCTGGAGCCCAAATAAGGTGTAAATATAAAAGTAAACTGGCTCCAAATAGTTCTGTAAAAGGGAGCCATTAAAAATGCTTGTTAGGAAGCCCTAATCTTACTCAATACCATTTAAAAAGCACAGTACAGAAAATTCAATATCCAGAAGCCTACAACTAATTCCAAGCAGTAAGCCCAGGTTACCCCGCCGTTCCAATCACAAGTGGGCTAGCAGCTTTCCTTCCCAGCACCAAGAGCAGAGGAAGGGAGGAAGTTACTGAGGGCTCTGGCTGCATTCACTACTTCACATAAATCTGATACCAAAGCTGTCTAATTCTTCCCTCCTTCACATGAGAAGTCAACAGTGTGCTTGACTAATTTTCCAAAAATTATTAATCTCAAAGATAAATCAGGAGTGTTTACAAGTTTCTAAATGAAAATATGTATCAGCTTTGAGATCACACACATATATTATAAGCTAGGAAACGTTTACATGTGAAAAATACATAAAGTATCAATAAAAAAGAAAATTCATAACATATATGCAACAGATTAGGATACTACTGATTTTATATCAAGTCAGTTACAACTTTCTGTTTTAAATGGCAGATTTGACTTTCAACTGATAAAAATTCAATTCAATGCCATGAAACATAACATACCTGTATGGGTAGGACTCTATATAAAACACTGAGAAAAACTTCTTGGTATATATTCATTCGTTCAAGGAGGTTAATTGTCCTCATAGATTCAGTTTTATTATCATATATTAAGCCATGTAAACCTACGATTAATATTTGAAAAATGAGGAAAGTATATTTACAATTTTAATTGCATTCATTCATAATTACTCAAGTTTCTTCAGCATGTGCCAGAGATAGTGGGTGGTACTGGTGATGTAACAGCAAAAAACAGAGCTCTGGTAGCAGAGTGGCTACGAACTGGGCTGCGAGCTGCAAAGTCAGCAGTTCAAATCTACCAGCTGCTCCAGGGGAGAAAGAGAAGGCTTTCTGCTCTTGTTAAGATTTACAGCCTTGGAAACCCTGTATACACAGGGTCGTTATGAGTTGGAACTGACTTCACAGCACATAAGCACCACCAACCACCCTCACAGAGAAGCCCTGGTGGCGCAGTGGCAAAGTGCTTGGTTGCTAAATGGAATGCTGGCAGTTCGAACCCACCAGTTGCTCCATATGGGAAAGATGTGTCAATCTGCTTTCTTAAAAATTACAGCTTTAGGACTCATTTCTAGTCTGGCCTACAGGGTCACTATGAGTTGGAATATCTTCAGAGAGCTTATCATGTCTTAGATGTACATTGTTGTTGTTGTTAAGTGTGGTCAAGTTGGTTCCAACTCATAGAGACTTCCAAGGAGCGGCTGGTGAGCTTGAACTGCTGACCTTGCGGTTCAAACAGACTTTGTAGTCCGGCACATTAACCTGCTGCGCCACACCAGGACTTCGTTTGGACGTTATTTAAACGCTTACGGTTGGACGTTATTTAAACGCTTACGCAAGCACAGGAGTTATGGATTTAACTGTGTCTCACAAAAAACATGCAAATCCTAACCCTCTATGCCTGTGGTCACAATCCCAATTGGGAATAGGTGTATTGTTATGTTAATGAGATAGGGTCAGTGTTGTAAGCAAGCAAAGATGGGTGAAAAGGATGGCAAGCCATCTGCTGGCCCACAGCAGACATGCAGTGAGAAGGAGCCACAGCCTGTTACAGAAATCCACTAGCATATTGTACCCAAGCTGACTTAATTTGTACTGAGTCTGAGTGGATAGTTCACAGATGAAAATACGCTAACAGTCCTCGTGGTTGCTATTAAGTGCCATTGAGGTGGTTTCTGAGGAGTGGCTGGTGGGTCTGACCTCATGGTTAGCAGTCCAGTGCTTATCCTACATCAGGCGCCATACCAGTCCTTCGGCAGATGAAAAAAACGCTCAACTTTACTCCTAACAAGAGAAGTACAGCTACACACCATGATGAGTGTTAACTGATATCACTACACTATACAGCTGAAAAACATGGAACTAGCACATGTTGTGTTATATACAATTACAAAAACCAACAAAACTCAACTAAATGGCAACATCGTTTCTCATCCATCACCTTGACAAAAATGAAGTTGCTGACAGGATTCTCTGGTTGGCAGGCTGTACAAAGAAGCATTCTTAGATTGCAACTGGAGAGGAATTTGGTATTTTCTGCAATTCCTCTCCAACTACAACCCAGCAAAATGACAAATGCATTTACCCTTTGATTTAGTAAATTCCTGTCTAGGAACTATCTCAAAATCAGACTGGCTGAAACACACCATGATAACAGCCACAAGGTCCATTCACACAGCACCATTTACAATAGCAAGAGATTAGAAACAACCCGTGTTCACCAACAGAAGACTACCTGAATAAATTACGGTCATCATGGTGTGGCGCTGTAAGATAAACACTGAACTACTAAACACAAGTCGGTGGCTCAAACCCTATACAGAGTCACTATGGGTCGGAACCGACTCGACACACTTAACAACAATACAGAGTGGACCCTCAATATAGCTAAATGAAAGGAAGCAAAACAGAAAACACACATGCTAAGCAGGTTTTTTATGCAAGAAAGAGAGAAAAGGGATATAAAAAGGATTGTTAATGTAAAAATACTACCTGTGGACCAACACCTCCACACACTAATGAAAAGGGCCAGCTACGGAGTACAGAAGAGAAGAGGGCAGGAGGGCACACACTGCCCGGAATGCTTCTCTGTTGTACTGTTGACTTTGACACCTTGTGAACTATTTTTTTAAGTGTAAAAATACTTCAACCAATTTCTAAAAACCAAACATAAAATTAAGTAAGTAAACCTATGGAGTTGGGGATTTGGTAAGAGAGAGACCACATATCCCTAGGCAGTTTCTCCTAAATACAAACAGAACTCCAAAGACACATACAGTTCTCAGGAGATCCTGCTGTGAGCAGCAACATTAGTAGTGAGACTTTTAAACTATTATATGTATCGTAGCAAACAAGTAAGTGATGTTAACACCAATAGCAATCAAGGTATTCTACTTAAGAAAAAGACATGTAACTATCAAATAAGAAATTAAAACCTTATCCTGATGTGGTACTGTAGGATAAGCACTGGACTGCCAACCACACAGTTGGTGGTTCAAACCCATCAGCAGTTCTTGGAAATCCCATACAGGGTTGCTATAACTCGATGGTACTTAACAACAACATACTAAATTTAAATTGAAAATAGCTATATTCATAACGTGTTTTCTGTTAGCCAAAAAAAAATAAACAAGTGTTTTCTAGCTCTGACCACTATCAAGGCCTGGAAACAACACCCAATCCAGAAGAAAAGACAAAAAGAGTTTTAGTACCCAGATCAGTCTGGGTAGTGCAAAAGGGTAACGAATTCAGCTGGTAGCCAAAGTGTGGAGGTGCCTTGGAGGAAAGGCGTGGAGATCTGCTTCTAAAAAATCAGCCCCTGGAAACCTCATCGATCGCAGTTCTACTTAAGCACATGAGGGATCGCCATGAGTTCAACTTTTCTTTTTCTTTTTTAGTACCCAGACTGCTGTCTCTAAATAGCCACTAAAAAGAATTAGGACTCCTTGGAGAAATGGCTGATTCCAGGTCAGGAGTAGGAAAGGTACAAAATGGGCCCCAAACCTTTTATCATGCCAGAAACCAATGAGATTTTCAAACACCACTGGATTCATATCAAAACAGACAGCAGAAGCCAAGGTTTTCAATTTAACAAAAAGAGATAAAATATAAAATGAAAACACAAAACAAACACAAAATCCCTGTTACCCCAAGCTGAATTTGAAGATGGCTGTGTTCATAATAATGGAGTCCTGGTATGTGCTTAAGGCCACCCACTAGTCTGCTAACCAAAAGGTTGGGGGTTGCAAGGTCTCTATGAGTCAAAACTGACTCAATGACACTAACAACACAGATTCATAAAAGGGAGCACTGGAGGCATTGTAGAATAAGCACTGGACTGTGAACCACAAAGTCAGCAGTTCAAGCCCACCACCCACTCCACGGAAGAAAGAGGAGGCCTCAGAAACCCACAGGGTCTCTACAAATAGGAACCGAGCTGAAGGCGGCAATATACTCAGAACATACTTTCTGAATACAACGATGGAAGGAAAGCTGAAATTAAAATACTCTGTGGTCCTGGTGTGGCACTGTAGGATTAGCACTGGACCACAAGGTCGGTTTGAACCCAAGGTTAGTAGTTCAAAGTCACCAGTCACTCCTTGGAAACCCTATAGAGGGTCGCTATGAGTCGGAACTGCCACTTAACAACAACAGTAACAATGGTCCTGGTGTGACAGTGTAGGTAGGCACCGGACTGCAAGGTCAGTTTGAATACAAGGTCAGTGGTTCAAACTCATCAGCCACTCCTCAGAAAGTCTATAATGGGTCACTATATGAGTTGGAACCTACTTGATAGCATTTAACAACAATACTGGCACTGTAGGATAAGCACTGGACTGCTAACCGCAAGGTGGGTGGTTCAAATCTAGAGCTGCTCCTTGGAAACCCTATACAGGGTCATTATGAGTCAGAAGGGACTCAATGGTGGCATTTGACAACATAGAGATTACAGTTCTAGATACAATCATGAACTAGGTCATTAGGTGAAAGCCTGTTTGTGAACATAGCAATGAATCATGCAGTCTTAATTCAGGAGCCCTGGCAAGCATTGATGCTTATATCTACAAGGTCAGTGGTTCAAGCCCAACAGTTGCTCTTTGGGACAAAGAAGAGGCTGTCTGCTCCTGTAGAGAGTTAGTTTTAGAAACCCCAGAGAGGTTTGCTATGAATTGAAATCGACTCGATGGCACTGGGTTTGATGTTTTGATTTGATGTGGTGGTGGTGTTGTTAAGTACCGTGGAGTCGGTTCTGACCTTGAGGTTGGCAGCCTGACTCATAACCACTATGCTACCAGAGTTCCTTTGATGTAGTATTTATAGGAAGTAAATACAGGGTCGCTATGAATCAGAATGGCCTCAGTAACAACTGGTCTTGCTGCCTCCTACCCCCCAAAAAAATTTCCTCAAAAGAACCTGAATTTGAGCAAGCTCTAGATCTAACAACCAATTAATAGGAAATACAGATTACTTTTTGGGTGGCATAAGAGCTGGGAGTCAAGGAAAGGGGTGTTACATAAAGTATTACAGAATTTCTGGAACAAAACATTTTCATGGGCTGATTACATGTTCACAAGGAAAACTACAAAAGTTTGTGTGATTTAAAATGTTCTGACTGAAATATTGAAACACAAAAGAGCCCAAACGAAACAATCAGTTGTAATTACCTTGCTTGAGGGTTGGCGCTTCCAGCATTTGCTTGTAATAGGAGTAATACAGTCCACATTCTGTTCTGAATGAGATTTCTCGTTCCACTTCCTGAAATAAAGTTAGGTTTTGTTTATCTATTATCACTGCAGACATAAGATACAGAAACAACTTCAGAGAGAAAAAACTTGAAAAATATAGTTTCAAGAAAGATTCCCGAACAAGAACAGAAGGGTGGTTTATTGCTGAAGTTGGGTGATAGGTTAACAGAAAAAAACCCAACCTTTGCTGTCAAGTTGATTGTGACCTGGGACCCTACAGACAGATCAGAACAGGTTTTCAATCACAGGTTTTCCAAGGCGCTACAGGACAAGCACTGGACGCAAGGTCAGCAGTTCAAACCTACAAGCCACTTCTTGGAAACCTTGTAGAGAGTCACTATGAGTTGGGACATCCTCAACAGCCCATTACAACATTTACAGAAGCTGACTGTCCCAGCTTTCTCCCACAGAGTAGGTGCTGAGTTCACTTAGTAGTCAAATGCTTAACCACTGCACCACCTGGATGGGCTCCTAATCCCGGCAAAATGGGAAAAATAAAAATACACTTGCCTTAGAGGACTGACGTGAGGCTTCATGATCTTAACTTCTAGGGACCATAGTGCTTCATACAAGTGTTAACTATACTCATTTTCCATTTAGTCTCACACCTTGACCCTGACCAGCGATGTCCTTCCCCTTGGGCAGTATACTGTTAAGTACCATCGAGTCAGTTCCGACTCACAGCACTCCTGTATAGGGTTTCTGAGGAGTGGCTGGCCTTGTACTGATCCTACAGTACCACACCAGGACTCCTTGAGCAGAAAACGAAAAGGCACACGGTGTGTGTAAATAGAGCAGTATGAAAGCTGAGCTGTAACTCCATTTTAAAGTCTTGACATGAGTATAGAATTCATAGACTTATGCACTCCTAACCAATCACATAAGGAGCTCTGGTAGCATACTATTTACGAATCGGGCTGCGAACCGCAAGGTCAGCAGTTCGAAATTACCAGCTGTTCCATGGGAGAAAAATGAGGCTTTCTGTTCCTGTAAAGATTTACAGCCTCGGAAACCCTGTACAGGGTCGCTAGAGTCGGAACCAACTCCACGGCACATAACAACCACCACCACCACCACCGATCATGTGCAGTCCTGGTGTGGCGCTGCAGGCTAAAGCATGGGCCATAAGGTTGGTTTGAACATAGTTGACAGCACTTAACAACATTTAAGTTGTAAGTTCAAACTCACAGCTGCTGCTCAGAAACCCCATACTGGGTTGCTGAGTTGACTCGAGGGCACTTAACAACGGCGAATCCTGTGGGGTCCTGGTGGGGCACTGCAGGAAAACTGTAGGATGACCAGTGCAAGGTCAATCTCAACTGCAAGGTTGGCGGTTCAAACTCGCCATCATTCCTCAAAACCCCTCTAAAGGTCCCTAACAAGTCAGATACAACTCGACAGCAGTTAACACCAACCAGCCACGTGATCCCATAAATATGTTATCCACCTATCCTATCCCTGCTAAACCCGCTCTTAGATAGTTCACCTTTGAGTCTTCTAATTGTCTTTTGACCAATTATGATTTTTAGTTTCTGCTCCAACTGTACAAGAACCGTTTTCTTCCTCATAGTATGACATCATTTTCCCAGTGACCTGGATGACTTTCTGGTCTGGACAGTCTCTAACCCCCAATAATCCTCTCTTGCTTTTCACTCTACCGACAGGCTGTATGGGTAGTAACTGGATCCTGTCCTCTCCTTTCCTCTCCTCTTCTCTCCTGATACTAAGTAGCTTGAACAGGGAAAGAAGGGGGTCTCAAGTTACTCTAAGTATGGCCTCACTCGGCAGGAAACAAGCAACTTCAGCAGTGAGGAATTTCTGAAAAGAGAGAGGTTGCAAGAGGAAATGAACTTAGTTAGCCTAAGATAAAACCTGAAAAACAAGATTCAAATAACCTGTATATGAACCAATTCCCCAGACTGGCTACTTAGGCCCTCAAGTCAGGAGTCCACAGCCTACCGCCGACAGAGATATATATAAACTCCACCTCCTCTTCTTCGGCGAGGGCGATGCCTATCCTTCCCTCTCTGTAAGGACATCACACTAATAAACCTAGCTTTCATTTCCCTGAGCCACTCATCTTTCTAACTTCTTTTGCTGGAAGGTAAGAGTGTCCACCTTCCCAGTGTTTCGGCAGGACAGTAGCACCAGTCCATGGATTACAATTCAGCCTTGACGCTGACACGTTTGTCCTGTGGAGTGGCGGGTGAGTGGTCAGCACCACCAGAGCTCATGGATTTAGTCTACTCTCTCCTCTGTCCAACAGAAAAACGAATAAGCAACATCTGATTTTGACTTTAAGGTTTTCTTACCCATGAAACCAAATAATCACTGTAAAACAACCTGCCCTAAACTGTGAAAGCATTGGCTCCCCCTTCCTCCCTAGCCCCAGCAGCTGCTCTGCTGTTGTTAGGTGGCATTGAGTCGGAACTAACCTATAGCAACCTTATGCACAGCAGAACGAACCACTGCTTGATCCTGGGCCAACCTTACTACTGTT